ACGAATCCACTTTGACCCGACCCAAATCAGAAGTGGACCCCACTGATAATTGTACCACAAAATAGTCACTTAATATGCCATTTTAAGCTATTTTTTCCAACAGAGTTATGGTGAATGCTTACTTGTGTATTAGAAAATTTGGTCACTAGCTATAAACTAGAAGACATGTGTAAGTAACCAATATCGCACTTGAACAATACTAGCTTGACCCCACTTTAGGAAAATATAGGTTAAAGTACCTATGAAGTTTCTGTATTATAGTGTTTTGTTTAATTTAGTACTTTTATCTTAATTTTGTTCAATTTAGTACTTTTACCTTAATTTTGTTCAATTTAGACCTTGTACTTTAAAAAGTGAAACAATTAATGACAATAGCTGACGTGGCGTTGAAATCATTCACGTCATCATACTTACATGCCAACTCATATATTATTTTATAAATATTTAAAATTAATTATTTTTACCACCAATATATTACATTAATATATCCAAAATAAATACATAAATATCAACTATTGTCCTTAATTGTTTCACTTTTTAAAGTATAGGGACTAAATTGAATAAAATCAAAGTAGAAGGACTAAATTAAACAAAACACTATAATACATGGACCTCATAGATGCTTTGACTGAAAATTTATAGTTTTGTTCTTAGGTTGCACCAACTCAGAAGATGATGTTTATTGTTAAGAACATTACTATGTCCTTAATTAAACTCGAATGACTTGATAGGAATTATTCCTAACCGTACCCTAGCGTATGCATGATCTGTACCGGGGTACCCACCGAGTGGAGTCATATCCGAGCATGATTGACCTCTTTGCACGATGACCCGACCTAGATCGCAAACTGAATATAGTTTTCCTCGCCAACGAAGCCTAGTTCTCACTCTTTCACTTCGACCATATTGGGTCGCGGTTGACCTTTCGACCTGCGGCGTTTAGAGCCTTAAGCTTAGTTCTTTTAGCTAAACTAACCCAATGGCGGTGGGTCCGAGAGAGTCAGGAATCTCAGGGCACGTAAAGGAACCAGCAAGGTCTCCGACCTCTCCCTATGCATGTGTTCCACATGCCACACATGTCGGGGGACCGGCATGTGCCCCCTCACGCTTCCTATAAATACCGCATTAAATGCGAAGAGAGGGAACTTTTGGAGACCTTGCATGCACATATATTGAGCTCGAGACCCTCTCACTCATTGTTGAGTAACCCGGGCATGTCTACATAAACCAACAAGTAGACTATAGCAGGATCTTTAATTTGTATGATCCGACCCCATACTTTACGTGTCTGTAGGGATAACCGTATTTACTACATTAGTAGTTACTGAAAAATATACACAAATATATAATAGTTAGAGCAAACCCATAAGTTGAATTTTTTCAATGATTTTTGTCAGTCTAATTGGGAGAGAGGAGAGAGAGAGAGATAGATAGAGAGAGAGCAAAAAGAACAAACAATGAAAAAAAAAAAACATGTTTGTCTGGAAAAAAAATTATTGGTTACGTTCCCAGCAGGCTTGTGCAGTGCACCAATGTAACTTTAAAAAATGGAGCTCATAAGAAACTATAATTCCTATAAATTAATTTTCTTCTCTTTCCTCCGCCCTCTCTCCTCCATCTCATCATCTCTCTACTCCATGTCACAAAAAAAAAAAAAAAAAAAAAAAATCGCGGGTGGGATGCTCTACCTTGTATAAATAGTTTTTTTTTTTTTTTTTTTTTTTTTTTTTAATGTTACTGGCCCTATTACATTGTATTATCTGTTCAAACATATTTTCTCAACCTATTAAAATACGAAAATTCAACAACGCCTCTATTGAAGTTTGATCTCATGACATTCCATATAAGAGATGTCATTACATGTCATCTGAGCACAAGGGATGCAAGGGATCCCCCAGAAAACATAAAAAAGTCGATTCGCTACCTCTAAACGCGAAATATTTCAATAATAGAATACCATCAAATCGCGATAAGTTGTGAAAGTAGACTGTTTGAATTGACGGATTTTTTTTTTTTCATTCAAGAAGTTTGACCCCCTTTTATTATTTTTTTTTTGGTTTTCTTGATTTGAAATTGATTTGGATCTCTCTATTCTGGCACATAAATGAAGGGATCGAAGAGATTATGGCAGATCATGTTTACCAAGAAATGACCCGAAAGTGCTTGGTTTGTATAAATAGTTTGAATGTTGTAATATCAAAGACACTCTAATAAACAATCCATTTGCTCCGTGCAATTACACTCCTTTCATTATTTCATCAGTTCTGTATCTCAATTTATTAATTGCCTTAATTATTTCTAGTGTCAGTTGACATTAATACTATCAATATAAATATATTAATAAATTTATAATGTAAACATTCGTAAAATGGTGCTTAATTTCGATATTTTAAAAATAAATTAATTGTTAATTAAATTTTGTGACGACTAAAAACTGTTAACTAAATAAAAAAAAGTTCAGTTATGGACTCATTAACCTTTTTTTTTTCCCTCTTTGATCAGTTACTCTGATTTCAATCGAAATTTATACAGCCTTATGTAAGAACAATTGTTATACCATGGATCATATTTTACTTTGCATTGTAGACTTTCGTCCATAAATTTTGTGTCTTGAGTTAATATATTATGCTTCTTCAGTTAATAAATTATGTGTCTGTAAATAAATTGAAAGTATATAGTTTCAATATAATTTGTTAATTACTTAACTACAAACATATAATATGTTAATTACAGACACATAATATGTTAACTGCATATTATGTGTGTGCAGTTAACATATTATGTGCATGTATTTAACATATTAGGTGGCTTCAATTTATTTACATACACATAATCTATTAATTAAATGCACATAATATGTTAATTGCATACACATAATCTGAATATTATTTTATATCAAAGGTCCACAATGCTTTGTGGACCTAATCAATGATATAATTTGCCATAATGGACATATAATTCATTAATAGACCATAATTACAAATTAGAATATAATGTCAACCAAATCTCTTGTATTCAATTGGCATATATATAGTATTCAGATGGTATTATTATGTTTGATTCTCCAACTTCACTAACATGTCGACACGTCGTTTGGTTATTTCTTCAATTATTTCGTCTCTTTCATTATACGAAAGATTTGAAAAAGAAATAATTCTTCAAAGAAAAAATAATGGAAGAAATTGTTATGGAGGTGGTGTCCAGTGTCCACACTGCAACAACCAAAATTCCTAGAGAAGTCTCAAAAGAGATGATGAAATGAATAAAATATAATTCTCGTATTTTAAGGTCACGAGTTTAATTCTTACCAATAATCTTTTAGTCAAGCAGGTTGCATAATTTATTTATTTATTTTTTTTGTACGGTTTACCTCTTTTATGTGATTAACAATTTATTACGTAGAAATTAGGTTTACATGATGTATAATCTAAAATAATAATTGCGAGTTTCCTTAGTTATCCAAAATAAAAAATTCCGAGAGAAATGGAGTAAGGTGGAAGACAGAACATACAAATTAAACATGTGAAACGGAATTTCATTATATATACCAACTTTGTCATTTTCATGAATCCGAATGATTATAAATTGTGCCAATTACTAATAATAAAAATATTAGGAATAAAATAGGAAAAATAGGATGCCGTAAAATTGTAGTAGAAAGTAGAAACTCACTTCTTACTAGCTAATTATCAAATTCGAATTCTTGATTAGTTAATTTACAAGATTTTATTTGGAAAATATGATATTTTATCATAAAATCTCTCTTAATATAGAATAAATATTAAACAGGGCCATACATTTTAATGCTTATTTAATACCCTATTGATATTTATTTATGTCAATCAAACGATATTTCACCGCATAAAAAATAGAAGCGTTTTAATCACACCACATAAAAAATAGAAGTGCTATTTTAATCAACTCTAGCAATTGAGTTGCATTAGTATATACTTGAAAAAATAATATAATTTCTCGTACTAAATTTACTATGTTTATCTCGACAATCAATTGACTTTGGATGAAATTATTTTGTGTAATTCTTTTTAGCAAAAATATTGATGATTTGGTATGTAATTGACTAAACCCAAGAAAAAAAGAATCAATAACGCCTTCTCTGAAACTCGAACTCACAATCTTCCAAATGAAAGTCTAACCCGGGTATCATTAAACCACATAGTCTTGGTCTACTTGAAAAAATAATATCATTTTTCCTACTAAAATTACTATGTTGATCTCTTGACTAGCAATAAATTTTATGGTGAAATTGTTGCATAAAAATGTGTAATACTCATCTGTCTCATTTTACTTCATGTTTGTTATTCATTAGTTAAACTAATGTTTTTTTGGATCTATTTTTAAATTTAAATTTTTATGTTTAATAATATTTTTAATATAATTTCTAAATATATAAATTTTACATACTAATACTATACGTAATATTATTAAAAAAATAAAAAATTTAAATTAAAAATAATTTCGTTAAACCTCATTAATTAACCCGACACATAAAATAAGAAGAATAAATATTGTCCGTATAGGCTTAGCTCACTGGTACAGTAAGCAGTATTTGGAAAAAAGACATAGTAATAAGACGATTATGCTTAAAACATGACCCTATTTACTGAGTTATTGAATCACTATGATTACATCCTCTCAAATGTTATGTCGGGTCGAGTCGGGTCCGGGGAACAAGAATAATGGGTAATTGTTGCTAAAAACACGGATGGTTTGACCAGTAATCGACCAAACCCAGAAAAGAAAAAACACAAAAAAGGTCAGATGGAAATTACGGCGCTTTGATCTAGCAAGACCGCAGGATAGTAGAGTACAAGGTCAATGTCTTGGTTATTCTCCGTATTAAATTCGGGGAGTCACCACTCACCACTGGGCACTAGCACAACACGACAACGAATCGAAACACAGAATCGTCGGATTACATTAGTAACCGAAGCCTCGGACTATAGTCCCATGAACTCCATTCTTGATTCACCTTAAAATCTTTCTAGGATTCCCCAAACGTGTTTTCTTGAATCTCTGCAATGGCTAGTGGCTTCAGACTCCAGAAAGGTTGCGCCTTTTTCACTTTCTCCTGTTTCTTGCTTCTTCGCTTTTCTTCATTTTGTTTAGCAGCCAAAAGAATTGAACCGGGCAAGGTGATCAGAGACGGAGACACCATTGTTTCCGGCGACAAAAAGTTCGCCCTGGGATTCTTCAGTCCGCCGGGGACGACTAAAAGGTACGTCGGAATTTGGTACAATGGGATTCCGTCGGAGTCGGAGTCGGTTATTTGGGTGGCCAATAGGGAGAACCCAATAGGCGACAAGAATGGAGCTTTAACCATCATAAACGACGGGAATTTAGCGGTTTTAGATGGAGAGAACAACGTTGTATGGTCGACTGGTGTGTTTGTACCATCCAAGAAATCCTATGCTGTCCTGTCGGACACTGGGGATCTTGTTCTTCGGCGTGCCGACTGGAATGGGAATGGGAATGGGAATGGCCTTAAATCGGTTTTGTGGGAGAGCTTTTCACACCCCACAGACACATTCTTGCCGGAAATGAAAGTGTACTTAAATTCATCAGTTATAGAGCAGAAAATCCTGACTTCTTGGACCAATCCCAGCGCCCCTTTTCCTGGGAAATTCTCACTGGGAATTGACACCCAGAAACCACCACAGATTGTGGTGTGGGAAGGGGGGAAACGGCGGTGGAGAAGCGGGCATTGGAATGGACTGGAGTTCCTAGGTGTTCCCAGTATGAGAGCTGATTACCTCTATGGTTTCAAGCTTTACAACGAAGGCGATGGCCGAAGGGTCTATTTCACATACACCTTGCCCAATACTTCTGATTTGGTACATTTCAAGATAGTTTGGAATGGGAATGAGGCTAAAGAAAGGTGGGAAGAAAGCGTGGGGCAATGGAGAACAATCCAAATGCAGCCTTCTAGCATTTGTGATCTGTACAACCAGTGTGGCAAATTCGCGAGATGTGATGTTTCTAGCTCGAGTATTTGCAAGTGCATAAAAGGGTTTGTGCCGAGTGATCCGAGCCAGTGGAGTGTAGGGGACTGGTCAGGGGGGTGCTCAAGGAGGACTGAATTGCAGTGCCAAAGAAATAATGGCAGTGGTCTCGGGAAGGAAGGGTTCCTTAAGGTGGATAACATCAAATTGCCCGATTTTGCAGAAATAGTCGAGAGTGCAGGGAGTGACTCGACCTGTGAGAGGAAATGCCAAGAGGATTGCTCGTGCACCGCTTATGCTTTCGTGAGTGGAATCCCCTGCATGATTTGGAGACGAGACTTGGTTGATATGCAGCAATTTGGCGACGGTGGGAGCACTCTTTTCATTCGTGTTGTTCGTGATGAATTTGGTAAGCTGTTCTTTCCTTTTTCGTTCGTGTTTGTTCATTCGTGTTTTCTGAATTTTCTAATGTGTTTAGTGATCAGTGATCAGCTTGAAACTACAATTTAATTGGTATTCAATGGCATGAATAATAATTGCTAGGAAACATATGGAGTTTCTAACTTTAATGTCTAGAAATCGATTTCCTTTCAGCAGGTGATAGGACAAGGAATGCCTTAATTGTTATAGTCTCAGTTGCAGTAGCTTTGATCTTCATTGTCAGCTTGTCGGTTTGGTATCTATTTACTCGCAAAGCTAAACTCCATGGTAAAATTCGTGAAAATCAAGACTACATTTTTCACAACTTTAGTTAAAATTATTGCTTCAATAAGCTATATCCTTTTATAGCAGCAAGGAGGAACTGTGAGAATCGAAGACCTAATCAACTCGCTAGTGGGGAATTCTTTACGGATTTATCAGGGAGCGGTGAACCGCCACGAGGAACTACATCGGCCTTGGCGTTTTTCAGCTTCAGCAGTATGGCTGCCGCTACTAACAACTTTTCGCACGAAAACAAGCTTGGACAAGGTGGATTCGGGCTCGTTTACAAGGTGAGCTTTCGTCATAATCTGTATTCATGTGAAAAAAAGTTTGGAAAGTGCGGTTTAATGAAAAGTCTAATTGTTTTGTGGTTAGGGTATACTACCATGTGGTCAAGAAATTGCTGTGAAGAGGCTTTCGAGAAAGTCTGTACAAGGCGTTCAGGAGTTCACTAACGAACTCACGCTAATCGCCAAGCTGCAACATCGAAACCTCGTCAAACTTCTGGGCTGCTGCGTTGAAGGAGGAGAAAAGATGCTACTCTATGAGTTCATGCCGAATAAAAGCTTAGACTCGTTTCTGTTTGGTAAATTTCGGTTCTCCTAGAATGTTTCTAGTTCTTTTGTGGCAGTTCATGTATAATTGTTCTTGTTGGTGAACTTATGACAGATTCCTCAAAGCGTCCCGAGTTAGACTGGAGTAAATGCTTCAAGATTATCGAAGGGGTTGCGAGAGGGCTGCTTTATCTCCACCGCGATTCGAGGCTTCGAATAATTCATCGGGACTTAAAGGCGAGTAATATTTTGCTGGATGAAGAGATGAACCCGAAGATTTCGGACTTTGGTATGGCCAGGATATTCGGTGGGAACCAAAATGAAGCAAATACAAACAGGGTTGTAGGGACATAGTAAGTACTCGTGTTTTTTCAGAATATCCCATTGTCCTTTCAGTAGTAATATTACCTTAATTTATCGTCCTATGTTTTTTATGTAGCGGCTACATGGCTCCCGAGTATGCAATGGAAGGCCTATTTTCCGTCAAATCAGATGTCTACAGCTTCGGAGTCCTGCTATTGGAGATCATTAGCGGGCGAAGGAACACCAGTTTTCGCTCTGGCGAGCATTTGGGCATTATCGGATACGTATGCCTAAAACCAACTTTCTTAATCGAGTACTTCATAAACAGTAGCACTGTTGCAAAAATCGCGCCTAGGCGGCCTAGGCAGTCCCCAGGCGCCCGCCTAGGCGGTCCCCAACCGCCCGGCCTCCAAGGCGCCCGCCTAGGCGTTCTAGGCGGCCTAGGTGGTCCCCAGGCGCCCGGCCTCCTAGGCGGTCCCCAGGCGCCTAGCGATTTTTTCATCATTGAACAGTAGGATCTCCAATTTTCTTTTTCTTTTTTTTTTTTTCACATTCTGAGTTTCTTGATTTGGAAATTTTATAGGCATGGGATCTATGGGACGAAGGAAAACCGATGAACCTAATGCACCCTTCCCTCTCCGATTCATGTGTGCCCGAAGAAGTGTTGAGATGCATACATCTAGCCCTGCTTTGCGTGCAAGATTTGGCGGTTCACAGGCCGAACATGTCATCCGTGGTGTTGTTCTTGGAGACCGATAATCTCACTCTCCCGTTGCCAAGGCCGCCTACTTATACCTCGATGAGAAGAGTTTGCGAGACTGAGGTGTGGAATCAGACCGGTGATATCCCGTCTTTCAACAATATAACCATCAGTATGATAGTCGGTAGATAATATTTACTCTCTTTCGTATCTACTAAAGAAAAAGACTTGTTCTTTGGACAGAATTAGCTGCAGATGACAGTAAGGTGTTTATAATATATACCAGAAATGGTTTGAAAAAATAATGAATGACTAGGATGTAATAATCTCCGTTAAGGTTTACTGTAAAGTTTGATCTATCCAAGGAAATAACATAATTTGTTCAAAGTCATTGCATTTCTTTATTCCCCATAGAATTGTAGAAAGCGACATCTTTTCTGCTGAGTTATTATTTAAGCGTTTTTGTATAACTGTTATGATTGACTGCAATATATTAGAAGAGATTCGGAGGGTGTTTAAAAGTCAGCATTTTGTGAATAAATTAACAAAGTAATGCCCCAACTCACAGGAAAAACGACGGTTATCAGAAGCCATTAAACTAGGCTGAAAGAAGCGTGAGTAGCAAACATGGCAAGAGAATTGAAGTTTTGGTTTCTCTCTCTCTCACATGCCTTGATTCTTTTAGCAGAATATTGCAGTGCAGAAGACACGTTAACCCAATCCCAACGGCTCTCGGTGAACCAGAGTCTTGTTTCTGCTGGTGGGATGTTCGAGTTGGGGTTCTTGATTCCTGGGAATTCCAGAAAGCTGTATTTTGGGCTGTGGTACAAGAACATTCATCCTGCTCGTTCGATTCTTTGGGTTGCAAATAGAGAAAACCCTCTTCTGGCTAATGATTCTGACTCGAGCTTGAAGATTGGAAGAGATGGGAACCTAAGACTCGTGGATGGGAAACAAAAGACGGTTTGGTCAACAAATGTTTCTGTCCATTCCAGTAGTAACACAACTGCAGTGCTTACAGACATGGGAGAGCTCGTTCTTAAAGAGTCTTCGACAGGATTGCTTATGTGGAATAGTTTCGATTACCCAACTGACACGATTATTCCAGGAATGAATCTGGGATATGATGTCCGGGGTGAAGTGGACCAAGAATTGTCATCCTGGGACTCAGAAAATGACCCCTCACCGGGAAAATTTCGAGTTGGAATTTCCCAGGAAACGCCACCTCAAGCATTCACTTGGATTAATAACTCGACGCCATATTGGAGAAGTGGCCCGTGGAATGGGTGGAAATTCATAGGAATACCAGAGCAGTATACTGGATATTCTAACGGGATGAATCTCGTCCAAGATAATAATCTGGGAACTGCCTATTTAAGTTTCAACACCTTCAACAGCTCCTATGTTTCGATCGTGACTATAAGACCATCAGGCGTGTTGCAGATCAATCTGTGGGATGATAAAATGAATGCCTGGGACCTCAACTGGGAAGCACCCAACCATTTATGCGATGTTTATGGAACTTGTGGAGCTTTTAGTGTTTGCGATAAGAAAAAGTCTCCATTTTGCGAGTGTTTAAGAGGTTTCGTACCCAAGTCAAGAGAGGAATGGAGTAACGGGAATTGGACAAGTGGCTGCATGAGGCAGACTGAACTTCTATGTGAGCAGCATAGGAGTGGCATCGCCCCCAATGAATCTAAAAATGACACATTTTTTAAGCTAACAGAGATGAAATTGCCCGATCATTTCATATATTTGTACGATAAAGGCATGGAAGGTTGCAGGGAATGGTGTTTGGAAAACTGTTCTTGTGTGGCTTATGCATTTCCACAGGGAATTCGCTGTATGGTTTGGACATCGAGCCTAATCGATGTTCTGCAGTTCTCGTATGCAGGAGAGGATCTGTATCTTCGTCTTGCAAATTCTGAATTTGGTAATTTCATAGTTCATATATGATACTTTTGTTTCTTGTTTTAATACTTTTTTTTTTAATCTCCATTTCTTTATTTTCTATGGTTTTCAGGAGACGATAAGAGGAAGATAAAACTCATTGTTAGTTTGGCAACAGTTACGAGTGCTATCCTTTTGGGAATCTTGATTTATATGATCTGCAGGAGGAGAGCGAACCAAGAAGGTATAACATTTTCATGAACTCTAAGGACTAATTGAAAACGATATTATCTAATAATAAAAGAGATATCATAGGAGAAGAAATGGAAGGAATTCATGCGATACCTAGTGATTCATCGGAGTTGCCAATGATTGGTTTCGATGAACTAGCAGCTGCTACCAACGATTTCAGCAACGATAACAAGCTCGGTGCAGGAGGATTTGGTTCGGTTTACAAGGTAACGATAGATCCCAAGTTTACGGTAGACATTAAAAATCTGGTGATGAAATTATAGCGAAATTCTTGTAGGGGATACTGGGAAATGGCGAGGAAATTGCAGTAAAAAGGCTTTCCGCTCATTCTGGGCAAGGCGTTGAAGAGTTCAAGAACGAAATCTTGCTGATATCGAAACTCCAGCACAGGAATCTTGTTCGGCTATTAGGCTACAGCATTCACGGGGAAGAGAAGTTACTGGTCTACGAGCATATGAAAAATAAAAGCTTGGATAGCTTTCTCTTCGGTAAATATTTGCTTAATCAGGAATATCATATTACTGACATTTCAGTTCTTTCATTTGAGCATTTCTTCTATAACTGTGATTAGATAAAGCAAAAAGATTGCAGCTTGATTGGGCAAAACGCTTCAACGTAATTCAGGGTATAGCCAGAGGGCTTCTCTATCTCCACCGCGATTCTTGTTTGAGGATTATTCACCGGGATCTCAAGGCAAGCAATATTTTGTTGGATAAAGACATGAATCCAAAAATTTCGGACTTTGGGTTGGCAAGACCGTTCAGGGTGACAGAAGAGCTAGCGAATACTCACAGGGTTGTGGGAACCTTGTAAGCCTCCTTCAATAATCACGGTTTTTAAAAATTTTAACCAAAAGCTGATTTAGTGATGTCGTGTATGTAGATGAAATTAAATGCTAAAAAAAAATAAAAAATCTGAAACCGATTTGTTGCAGTGGCTATATGTCACCGGAATATGTCATAGGCGGACTATTTTCTGAGAAATCCGATGTTTATAGCTTTGGAGTATTACTGCTGGAGATTGTCAGTGGCAGGAGAAACTGTGGATTCGATATAAGCCTTCTCAGTTATGTAAGTGCATCATTTTAGATTAGCAGTATTATTTCAAAAACAAGAATCTTACTTTCTTTAATTGTTTTTTTTTTTTTTTTTTTTTTTTTTTTTTTTTGTTGAATTGTTTCAGGCATGGCAATTATGGATTGAAAGCAGGGAAGTTGATCTGATAGACGAATCAATTTCGAACTCGTGTTCGTTTACAGAATCACTACGGTGCATAAGGATAGGGCTGCTTTGCGTGCAGGACCATGCATCAGACAGGCCTACAATGTCAAATGTGGTGCTGATGTTGTGCAGCGAAACAGAGATTCCTCGGCCTAAACAGCCCACGTTCACGATCCAAACGTTGTTGGGTTCTGATTCCAGGACAGACAGAAGTAACGCCCGATCCAGGAATGAAATCAGCATTTCAGTGACTGAAGGCCGGTGATCAGTTCAAAAACGCATCATTGCTGGAAATTATGGAATTTCCGACCACCTGAAAGTGATCTTAAATCAAGTCGAAAGCAAAAATTGGTCGAAAATAGCAACAAAGGTTTTTCCGGATACAAAAAGTGGGCGGAACAATGCTTTTGACTTGATTTAAGATCACTTTCAGGTGGTCGGAAATTCCATAATTTCCAGCAGTGTGCATGTAGAAGTAGAAACCACTCCCCTTCGTTCAGCTAAGATTTCATGTTCTTGAGTTTGAATTAAATATATCTAATACTTTTTACGATCTTTCCTAAAAAGCGAATCTTGATTGGTAAATAGTCTTGAGTGGCTACAAGATACATTAGAGGGGTGTTTAACAGTCAACACTTTTTTGGTCACTACAGTTTATATAATGCCACCCCTTAGTTCATGCATCACTTGATGGGACTGTTAGGTTATTGTGATAATGTAATATATAAGAAGAGACACATTCCTGATTCCTCTGTGTTTTTTAAGGTAGAAGGAATTGAACAAGTCCCCAGAAAAATAAGAAGGTCAAAGGTTGTCATAATGGGGATTTTAGGCTGAAAGAAACACAGTGCGACAGAGAAGCGAATAGAATGGCAAGAAACTGGGAGTTGTATGCTCTTTCTGTCTCGTTCGCCTTGATCCTTTTTACCGAATATTGCACTGCAGATGATACCTTAACTCGATCCCAACAACTTTCTGTAAACCAGAGTCTTGTTTCAGCTGGTGAAGTATTCGAGTTGGGGTTCTTTAGTCCTGGCCGTTCCAGAAACCTGTATATCGGATTGTGGCACAAGAATATTACTGTTCGTAAGATCTTATGGGTCGCGAACAGAGAAAATCCTCTTCTGGCTAATGATTCCGCTGCAAGTTTGAAGATTGGAAGCGATGGGAACATAAGACTCGTGGATGGGAAACAAAAGATGGTTTGGTCAACAAATGTCTCCATCCATAGCAGCACAATTGCAGTGCTTACAGACAAAGGCGAGCTCGTTCTTAGAGACACTGCCATGGGAGTGCTTCTTTGGAATAGCTTCAATTACCCGTGTGACACGATTATCTCGGGAATGAGTCTGGGATATGATATCCGGGGTGGAGCGAAACAGGAATTGTCTTCCTGGGAATCGGAAGATGACCCATCACCGAGAAACTTCAGAGTTGGTCTTTCACAAGAAAAGCCGCCTCAAGTATTCACTTGGGGTAATAATGCAAAGCCTTATTGGAGAAGTGGCCCGTGGAATGGATGGAGATTTATAGGTATTCCGGGACAGGATAGTGGATATGCCAAAGGGATGAATCTTGTCCAGGATAATAATCGGGGAACTGCCTATTTAAGTTTCAATATGTTCAACACGTCCTATGTTGTGATCGTCTCTATAAAACCATCGGGCTCGTTGCAGATGGATGAGTGGAACGAAAAAACGAAAGAGTGGGTCCTCAACTTTGAAGCACCGGACCATATTTCTGATGTTTATGGAACTTGTGGACCGTTTAGTGTTTGTGATAAGAAAAAGTCTCCATTTTGCGAGTGTTTAAGAGGTTTTATACCCAAGTCAAGAGAGGAATGGAGTAAAGGGAATTGGACCCGAGGCTGTGTTAGGCGGACTGAACTTCAATGTGAACCAGATAGGAGTAGCATGGCCTCCAAGAAATCCAAAAACGACATGTTTTTGAAGCTAACCGAGATGAAATTGCCCGATCATTTCATATATTTGTTCGATCAAGACATGGCAGGTTGCGGGCAGTGGTGTTTGGAAAACTGTTCTTGTGTGGCTTATGCATATCCACAAGGAATTGGCTGTATGGTTTGGACATCGAGCCTAATCGATGTTCTCCAGTTCTCACTTGCAGGAGAGGATCTGTATCTTCGCCTTTCTAGCTCTGAATTTGGTAGATTCTTTCGTTCTTTCTCACCATATTTTGTCAAGAAGATACATATGGCACCATTCTTTCTTTATTCTCGATTTTTTCCAGGTGAAGATAAGAGAAAGATAGCACTCATTGCTGGTTTAACGACAGTCACAAGTGCTGTCGTTTTGGGAATCTTGATTTATATGACCTGCATTTGGAGAGCAAACCGAAAAGGTATAATTACACTTTCATAGATGTGACTGCAAATTCATCTATAAACAGTTAAACACCAATCTAATAAAAACGAGAAAACTCAGGAGGAAGAAGAATCAAAGATCTATTTTTGATTGGAAAGGCTCAGAATGAAAGAGAAGAGTTGCAGGGAATTCACGCATTCCCTAGTGATTCATCGGAGTTGCCAATGATCGGTTTTGATGAACTAGCAGCAGCTACCAACGATTTCAGCAACGATAACAAGCTCGGTGCAGGAGGATTTGGTTCTGTTTACAAGGTAACGATAGATCCCAAGTTTACGGTAGACATTAAAAATCTGGTGATGAAAGATTATAGCGAAATTCTTGTAGGGGATACTGGGAAATGGCGAGGAAATTGCAGTAAAACGGCTTTCTGCTCATTCTGGGCAAGGCATCGAAGAGTTCAAGAACGAAATCTTGCTGATCTCGAAACTCCAGCACAGGAATCTCGTTCGGCTTTTAGGCTGCAGCGTTCATGGGGAAGAGAAGTTACTGGTCTACGAGCATATGAAAAATAAAAGCTTGGATAACTTTCTCTTCGGTAAATCTTTGCTTAATCAGTTCCGAAAAGTTGTTTCAGTTAAGCATTATTCCTTTTATAACTCCACATTTGATTATGACTGTGGTTAGATCGAACGAAAAAAGTAGAGCTCGATTGGGCAAAACGCATCACAATAATTCAAGGTGTAGCCAGAGGGCTTCTGTATCTTCACCGCGATTCTTGTTTAAGGATTATTCACCGGGATCTCAAGGCTAGCAATATTCTGTTGGATATGGACATGAATCCGAAAATCTCGGACTTTGGGTTGGCAAGGCCAATCAGGGTGACAGAAGAGCTATTTACTCAAAGGATTATGGGAACCTTGTAAGCCTCTCCTTCAATGATCATTGTTTTTAGAGTTAATACCTCCAATGGTCCTCCGAGTATTAGCGATTTACCAGCTGTGGTCATCCGAGTTTTAAATGACCTCCAATGGTTTTCCATGTTTTAAAAAATAACCACCTGTAGTTCTTTTAGGACGCCTGGTGGTCATTTTAAACTCGGGGTTTTTTAAGAATTAGGACCACGGGTGGTTATTTTTTAAAACATGGAGGACCATTGAAGGTTATTTAAAACTCGGATGACCACAGCTGATAAATCGCTAATAGTCGGAGGGCCATTGGAGGTATTAACTCTTGTTTTTATTTTATGTATGCAAATGAAATGCTAAAGTAAACTCCGAAAACCATTTGTTGTGCAGTGGCTATATGTCACCGGAGTATGTCATAGGAGGTCAATTCTCCGAGAAATCTGATGTTTATAGCTTCGGGGTATTAGTGTTGGAGATTGTTAGCGGGAGAAGAAACTGTGGATTTTATAACCATGATGAAAAACATTTCAGCCTCCTCAGTTATGTAAGTGCATCATCTCAGACAAGCCAAGAGATTCTAGTATTTCCCGAGTTTGAAAATTTTCGTCTATGTTCGTTCTTGAAACTGTTTCAGGCATGGCAATTATGGAGCGAGAGCCGGGAAGCTGAGCTGATAGACGAATCAATTACGAACTCGTGTGCGTTTACAGAAGCAGTGCGGTGCATAAGGATAGGGCTGCTTTGTGTGCAGGAC